GTGTGGTTTGTTATGTTGCCAGACCCCTAATGATAGGAGCAGCTGGTGAGGAAACTGAGAGATTTGAGTGAAAAAGAAAATGGTGAGTCACAGGACCTGCACTCCTTCTGTCTGTTTCTCCTTTTCTCTCTTTCAATGGGGTGAACTAAGAGCAAAAGAATCTTTTTGTGCTCACCACCTTGTTTAGACTGATGAGCCACTGGTAAGCTATCTGAGGGGCAGGAGAAGAGATAAACAGAGGTCAGTCGAATACATTGAGGTCGGTCTCCTGAGGAAATATAATCTTGAAGCAGTCAAACAGGAAGCAGTGAGCTGCTTGTTTTTTCTGTATAAGACAGGCTCACTGAGGCTTATAGTGACTTAGTAGTTTTTCGAAGACAAATACGGCGCAATCTTATATTTTGTTTAGTGCTGGAGCTCAAACGTTATTGGTGATTGACAGTTATCAAGGTTTCAAAAACCTGTTCTTGTATGGCTTATAAGTGAAATGAAAGTAAATAAGGATGGACTGATCGATATCAGCCGATATTTGTCTTAAACCTGTGATCTGCCAAATGCTGAATGTACTAAATTCAGGGATAGTATTTTTAAGTGCAGCATGCGCATATTGCAGGATGAATGCGTTTACGGCTGTTTGCATTTAGAAATATAAATGTTAAACACGTATGAATTGCGATATGCCCAGATTCAAGAATAAATACTGTAATTCTGTCGATACTATGACCAGTTAGTGAGTAGTGACAGAAAAAAAGTGCAAATAAATGTAAAAATGACGGAAACCACAAAGGGTGTATGCGTTAACAACAGTAAATAAGAACAAATAAGAAGAATAAGAACTTTCTCAAAAACAGCACATAGGCTATTACTATTACTATCATTATTTCAGTCAAACTTAAAACCACCATCAAACAACTTTTCTTCCTTATGGTGCATATGAGTTATATCTATGTCCTCTGGACATAGACTGAATCATTGCCATTTGTTAATTCGTTTTAATGTTTTTTTAAATTAAAGGTTACAAGGGCACATGTATTTAAAAAAATATTGATGTGCACAGATAAATCATTTATAATAAATATTCCATAAAATACAATAATTGTCCATTTTGATTTCATTCTGATTTCAATTGAGTTTTTCCATTTCATATAAAATATGGCATTTTTCTGTATCAAACAGAGGTCATTTTAAACTATTTTTTGACACGTATCCATGTAATTAGTATTACCGCAGTGCCCACTGTGGAGAATCATGATCAGTTTAATCAGTGTTATTTAACACTCCAAAAGACTATGTGACAAAAACAAGACAAGCCCAAACCCACGCATCTTCCTCTTTAAATGTAAATTGCGATATGCCCAGATTCAAGAATAAATACTGTAATTCTGTCGATACTATGACCAGTTAGTGAGTAGTGACAGAAAAAAAGTGCAAATAAATGTAAAAATGACGGAAACCACAAAGGGTGTATGCGTTAACAACAGTAAATAAGAACAAATAAGAAGAATAAGAACTTTCTCAAAAACAGCACATAGGCTATTACTATTACTATCATTATTTCAGTCAAACTTAAAACCACCATCAAACAACTTTTCTTCCTTATTGTGCATATGAGTTATATCTATGTCCTCTGGACATAGACTGAATCATTGCCATTTGTTAATTAGTTTTAATGTTTTCCTGAACCACTCAGGAATTATTATGCTATAGTGAAATCACAAATATTAATAAGTGTTATTTAACACTCCAAAAGACTATGTGACAAAAACAAGACAAGCCCAAACCCACGCATCTTCCTCTTTAAATGTATGCAGCTGAGAGCAATAACATGCCAAACATTCCTTCCTTTGGGAGAAAACTCTTGGTCAGCTGATCAGTAGTACTGAACCACTCAGGAATTATTATGCTATAGTGAAATCACAAATACAGCCATCCTGAGAGAGAGAGAGAGAGAGAGAGAGAGAGAGAGAGAGAGAGAGAGAGAGAGAGAGAGAGAATCCTGACCTGAAAGTGATTAGAGTAACAGAGGAAGTGGGTGTTACTGCTTTATGTCAGGACTCTGGTCTCTTTTTACACAATCTTCTGCTAAGAATCATTACTTTGCCTCAGATCCAATTGAGATGGCAATAAAAGAAGCAGAATAACTTGTGGAAGTCTAGCTTTAGATTTACTGTGCACGCACACTTTAAATGAATGTCTTCTTTAGCTATTGTCTTTTTGGGGGTAGTATCTTTGCTCATTTCAAACGGGGGAATGGATGTGCTAATGTCCTTGAGAACATATTTCGCATTAAATATAGAGCCCGGTGTCCCTGTTCCAGCTCCTGACTGGATCGGGATTAATGACCTCCACTGGGTTCACTGGCATAATGACCAGTAGGTCAGACAACTGCTTCAGGTCAATTCAACACACTAAGTTAACCAGAACAGCATGTAAGCTAAAATTGGTACAATGAGGAATGAACACGCGACAGAAAACTGCCCTGCTGAACTCATCAAAAACAAGCCTTAAAAACAGAACTCAAAATCTGCGATCAGCAGTATGGATTGCAATGGTTGATATTGACAAATCCATCTTCCTTAGTCTTACCACAATGGCACTAAACCAAGTCAAAGTGCCCAGCACCTCAAGAAGCATTCTAATGGTGCTATACATATTGATTAATAGTTGATTTTCAGAGAATCTCAAGTCTCAAGGATTTCTGGTGATTTCTGAGCATCTTGTAACCTGAACAAGCAGATTATAAAAGAACAACTGGGATAGTGAGGGAGAGAGAAATATACATCCGAACACTGGAAGATGACACCAGCCAACCTAAGAATGATTATAGATACTGCACTTCCCTCAAGCCATTCAATACATACAAGAGGATCTAGGAAAACGTAAATGATTCAGCAAAATTTTGAATAACAATTGCAGCTAATGGAGATGAATTTGCCTAAATGTGTCAGCTAAAAAAAGAGAGATTGATAAAGACAGCCACAGACAGCAGCCATGGCCTTAAAGAGCATGGACGGTACTGGGATTATTAAACACGAGTTTGCTAAGCAATTGCGCAACATTGGCTGGCATCAAGCGGGCCACCTTACACATGCTCTGAGACACAAGAGCTGCTAATTTAGTGCAGACGAGGGCAAGGGATGGCATTGCAAACAAAGCAAGCCACACTTGTGTCCCTTATCCCCTACGTCACTGACTTTTCAGAACAGAGCACACAGTGGTGCAGGGCCTCATCAGGGGAGGTTATGTAAGTAAATAGTACGAAGGGTGTACAGTTTTGTTTACTGAATCATTACAAGAGAATCAGCCAAAGCAGGGCACCTGACTATCCACAAGGTCTCATACACAGAAAGCAACTGTCAGTATCCAGGGTAAGAAAAATGAAGAAACTCCACTGAACGACCAGCAGACTTTTTCAGAAGCTTTCTCATGTAGGAAATATTCAACATCAGTTTTCTCCTCTGTTTGTGCACAACAGAGGAAATGGCACGGCAGTCATGTGAAGATGTCAAATATCACAGGAAGTTTCTGATCTGCAAGCCCACACTTTACTAAAATGACTTTCAAAACTGTTCTCTTTCATAAAGCAAGATGGATTTGAACATATTTGCAAATGTGACAATAAAAACAAACCATAAAATGTATTAGGTTCACCATATTGACAAAAATACAGTATCAACATCCATAAAATTACGGACAAAGTCCTATGTAAGGTTTCTAGCTGGTTAGTCATTAGCTGGCTCAACCTGGTCATTAGCTGGTAATTTACTGGCCCAAGTTGATCTATGAACATATTCCATGCCTAAGACGGTTTATCTGGTCTCTTAGCCTAACCAGTCTGGTTTCACAAGGGTTTTGGGCATTTTCCAGCCAGTGTGGTTTTAAGTTCATTTGGCCACATTGCTAAACCAGCTGAAGACCAGGGCTGCATTTCCCAAAAGCATGGCAAGTTTAAGTTGATCGTAGCTCCATTTGTTTCAATGGGTCTATGTACTTAAGCTCACGATGCTTTTGGGAAACGCAGCCCAGTTCACCTAGACTAGGAGACCAGAGAGGACCTGCAAATCATCTCAACACTGCTTCAAGATGCCCTTTCCCTCAACAGGATTATTATATGAGTTACTATTAACTCTGATAAGTGAAGAGCTGTAAAGCAAATTTTTTTGCACACCTGTTTAAAATATCAATATATATATATATATAAAAAGTAGTTTTCCACACACCATTCAGATCAAAAAGGTTGAAAGCCACGAAACTTCTTTTGGCTTTAGGTAAGTGCCTATTACCAACAGAATTTAATTTAATAAATCATTTGAGTGTGTGTATATGTATATATATATATATCTATCTTATCTATCTATCTATCTATCTCTCTATCTATCAATCACAGGTGCGGTCGAACGATTTATTAATTAAATTACATTTTGATTGGATATAAATATATAGCACAACAAATACCATATAGGGAGAATTTTAAACCTAAATGTAAATCTTCTATAGAAATTTTAACATGAAATCTAAGTGTACATTTTAAATACAAATCTTAAATGGGAAAAAAAAAATATATATAGGTATTTTCAAATTAAATACACATGATATAAATATTAAACATAAATCTTAACTATTACATGTTAATTCCAAAATAAGATGTTTTAAAATATTAGAAATATGTGATTAAATAGTAAATGTAAATCTTAGACACAAATTTATGATTTACATTTTTAGATTTAAGATTTACATTCAATTGAAATTATTTAAATGTGCATTTTTAAAGTATTTTAAAGGGGTCATGAACTGCCTTTGTTTTTATTTTGTACTGTTCTCTGAGGTCCACTTATAATGTTATCAAGATTTTTAAATTAAAAAAAACAACAATTTAGAATAAACTATGGACCCTTTTCACAAGACTGTGATGATGCTCTGATAAGTGAAGAGCTGTAAAGCAAATTTTTTTGCACACCTGTTTAAAATATCAATATATATATATATATATACACACTCACCCCCATTAACAGCAGCAGGTGCGATCACGATCCCCTTCGCCTCTGTTTTGGGGGAATTCTGCCCGTAGCGCCCGTCATTCTTCGTCACCATCTGTTGACGATTGCCTTTATGGTCCAGAACGGTGGCGTTGACCGTGGCGCTATAATAATCCTCCTTGTTCACCATAGTTTTGTCGGCACCGATAGACAGCGTACACCTGGGCGAGACGAAGGCGAGGAGGAAGGCAAGAAGGCAGCTGCTGCATGACGCCGGCGCGGCCAATCTCTTCAGCATCTTCGGCAATGTCTTCACCGATCAACGCAACCCGACTCTGCGAATCTTTCAACGGTCAGCGCTCTGTCTCAAGAGCCCTCATGTAAACATACTGTTCTCATTTCAAGCCACAGCGTTCATATGAAGAGCCATGCGGCGCTTCCCCTGATAAGACAGAAAGAAGGAAAGGGTAGATAGATTTCACCACATTACTGACTTTGCGATGACAACAAAACGCGTGTATTTCACCAGAGGCTTGGGTTCGTATAATGATCCCCGTTTGGTTTTATTAAAGGCGGTTAAGCTTGTCTACAGGTCCTTTAAATAATAGTACACAGGCTTTTAACGACTGTTAAAGGGAATCAACTGTAACGTTATCTCTTCTGCTGTCAGGACCGCTTTGTTCGTGCAACCAGTCCTTACAACCAGCTGCTATGCAACAAAAACACCTTTCCTCACGAGCTGAGATTTTAAATTTACTTAAAAAAGGTTCTGACGTGATATCTTACCTGCTCGGTCGCTCCCACCTGTATTATTTACAGTCAGACTCTCTCTTTGTTATGATATTTCACAGCGCCGTGGCTTGTTCGGCCATAGGCAGACCGATGCTGTTCTGCTCGCCTTTTTTCCTTTCGCGAACACTGAGCTGTACGCGTGTGCGCATGCGCGACGCAGCGCGTCTCTCGTACTGAGATCATATCAGTGGGAGGGACAGACAGGGCCACATCACCATCAACTCATCTCAATGCGTATACTGGCCCTTAATCACTTATTTACTACCAGTCGTAGCATTTGTGGCCGTTTACTTTTAAATGTGAAGAGTCTACAAGTTTACAAGGAATTGTTGATATATTTAATGTGTATTAGAGGGTTTGAAGGCTATTTTATAAATAATTTCTATATTGCTAGTGATCAGAGCTGTTTATTCCAGTTTGCTCATCTGAAAGATCAGATGATGTTTATGAGAAGCATGTAGGCTAAAGCAGAGTACAGTAGGCTACTGATGACGCCATAATGCAACTTCCAAATTTGGTAGCCTGCATAAAGGTACTTTTAATGTATTGCTCTGTAAAGAATAATATTTGAGATCACAATAGGCTACACTAAAAGATGTCAGTGAAATTGTCCCAATTTTAAAGGGGTCATGAACTGCCTTTGTTTTTATTTTGTACTGTTCTCTGAGGTCCACTTATAATGTTATCAAGATTTTTAAATTAAAAAAAACAACAATTTAGAATAAACTATGGACCCTTTTCACAAGACTGTGATGATGCTTTTAACGGTCATCAGCATCGTAAATCCTCAAAAGTTTTTCATATTTGTATTTTTTTTTAAATGTATGTACATTTATAACACTATTGTTTGTATTATATTACCTTTGCATCAGATTACAAATAAACTAGTTAACGCTAATGCGAGTGTGTTTCTAAAATGCAGCATCTATGGTTAGGGCTGCACGAAAAAATCGAAATGGAATCGAAATCGCGATTCGACAGAAGCTACGATTGTCAAGCCTATCTTTCAGTGAAGCACGGTTCTGTGATCAGCGGTAAATCTCCATCCAAAGGCCAGAGGGCGCTCTCGCTCTGAAAATCCAAATACGCCTCGCAGAAGAAACCCAGGAAATGCCTATAGCCGTAGCTGGATAAACAGACGATTTAACTGCTTTTATTGATTCAACGTGACTAATCTTACCTGCTCGGTCGCTCCCACCTGTATTATTTACAGTCAGACTCTCTCTTTGTTATGATATTTCACAGCGCCGTGGCTTGTTCGGCCATAGGCAGACCGATGCTGTTCTGCTCGCCTTTTTTCCTTTCGCGAACACTGAGCTGTACGCGTGTGCGCATGCGCGACGCAGCGCGTCTCTCGTACTGAGATCATATCAGTGGGAGGGACAGACAGGGCCACATCACCATCAACTCATCTCAATGCGTATACTGGCCCTTAATCACTTATTTACTACCAGTCGTAGCATTTGTGGCCGTTTACTTTTAAATGTGAAGAGTCTACAAGTTTACAAGGAATTGTTGATATATTTAATGTGTATTAGAGGGTTTGAAGGCTATTTTATAAATAATTTCTATATTGCTAGTGATCAGAGCTGTTTATTCCAGTTTGCTCATCTGAAAGATCAGATGATGTTTATGAGAAGCATGTAGGCTAAAGCAGAGTACAGTAGGCTACTGATGACGCCATAATGCAACTTCCAAATTTGGTAGCCTGCATAAAGGTACTTTTAATGTATTGCTCTGTAAAGAATAATATTTGAGATCACAATAGGCTACACTAAAAGATGTCAGTGAAACTGTCCCAATTTTAAAGGGGTCATGAACTGCCTTTGATTTTATTTTGTACTGTTCTCTGAGGTCCACTTATAATGTTATCAAGATTTTTAAATTAAAAAAAACAACAATTTAGAATAAACTATGGACCCTTTTCACAAGACTGTGATGATGCTTTTAACGGTCATCAGCATCGTAAATCCTCAAAAGTTTTTCATATTTGTATTTTTTTTTAAATGTATGTACATTTATAACACTATTGTTTGTATTATATTACCTTTGCATCAGATTACAAATAAACTAGTTAACGCTAATGCGAGTGTGTTTCTAAAATGCAGCATCTATGGTTAGGGCTGCACGAAAAAATCGAAATGGAATCGAAATCGCGATTCGACAGAAGCTACGATTGTCAAGCCTATCTTTCAGTGAAGCACGGTTCTGTGATCAGCGGTAAATCTCCATCCAAAGGCCAGAGGGCGCTCTCGCTCTGAAAATCCAAATACGCCTCGCAGAAGAAACCCAGGAAATGCCTATAGCCGTAGCTGGATAAACAGACGATTTAACTGCTTTTATTGATTCAACGTGACTAATAAACACACGATTTTGACAATATATGGTTTATCCGAGTTATTATTATTATAATTTTCATTAAAATAAAGTATATTTATAGTGCAATGTCTTTATCACTGCTTAGAATACTATGAAATATGTTACGTGCCTTATTCTGTTTAAGAAGCCACTTCATCTCACAGAAGGATTTATTTCAAACACTCGACTGACGTTATGAAGTGAGTTTAGCGTAAAAATATGTTATTAAATGTGGTATTTTCACATGCTTTCAGATGGAGCAGCATTTACTTTACAGAGCCGTAGTTCACCGAGAAGCTATGTAAACAGCTGTCATTCCTTCTTTCGCGAACGATTTCTTGGATTTCATAATCGTGCAATAAAAAAACGAGTTTTTTTTGCGTAACTTGTCAGTGAACTACGACTCTGTGTAGTAAATTCTGCTCCATCTGAAAGCATGTGATGATGATTTCCTGCTGATTACAGAACCGGCTTTTTTAACCATGCGCATTGGCGCCTATGAACAGGGTTGCCAGGTTTTCGCAATAAAACTAGTCCAATCGCGTTTCGAGGGGGTTCCCCTGTAAAAATCCATTCTGGGGGTAAAATACACGTTTTTCGGCGGGGATCTTCCAGTCAAATTTTCATTCCAGGGACTAAATATCACCGGTTTTTATCGGGATCTACTGGGACAGTGATAAAGATCTACCAGTCGATCGCGACAATAACAGTGGCCGGTGACAGCCTATGCCTTCACTACCGGTGCGACTATAGTATAAATAGGTGCCGGGAGACATCTTCTCTTAAGGCACGGCAGCAGGTCAGGCTGCAGTCTCGTTGCATACCATGGTGGTGCTTCAGGCTTTTCAGGCTGATCTGCTCAAAGACCTGGATAAAGGCAGGGTCTATCCCCTGATGAGGTGCCTGAGTTGCGTCGCACCACGGATCTTGCTCTCCGTGCCGCTAAGCAGGCCGCCACTGCCATTGGCAGAATGGTAGCCATGGTGGTTATGGAGAGACATCTGTGGGTGAGTCTGGTGGTTATTGGGTCGAAAGAGAAGGGCTTTCTTCTTGATGCGCCGGTTTCCCCTTCTGAGCTTTTCTATCAGGTCTGGTTATACGGGACCCACGCTCTCTATCGAGATAGAGAGCATGAGACAGTGTCCAGCTGCACTAGGGGACTGTCTCTTATTGGGCCCTGCTGGGTTTCCCCTTTTAATCTAGCGCCGCCTTCTGGTCAAGCTAAGAAGTGCTCCCTTCTCTGTGAGGGTTAGCTAGGAATCGCTCCGTGGCAGTGACATCAGGTAGTTGGGCCACTTGCTGCTTCCCTGATAAGCATTCTGCGGGAAAACCGCGGACTTGGCAACACTGCTTATGAACCGCCCGCACTATAGCGTTTCCTTGTTTAACGCTGTAAACAAAGCAGAGCTGCGCTTTATACGGAGAAGAAAATGCCATTGCCATCGAAACTTTTCTCAAGACAGTTCCCTTCAGTGATGCATTAATATAACCCCAGAAATGTAATGCATTTTTGTACTTATTTTACTGTTATTTGCTGGATCTACTGGGACAGTGATAAAGATCTACCAGTTGATCGCGATCGACGGGTTGGCGACCAATGGTGTAGAGGACTTATGTTTAAATATTTGGAATCCTCCAAATCAAGTCATGTGGTGATTGTTGTAAGTGTGCACGCTAAGCACTCTGCACACTTTCTAAAATCCTGTATGGTAAGGTTTACACGCTGTCAGCCTTGTTCCCTTTCTCTGAGTTGTCTTAGGCCCCGGTACTCGCCTTGGGCTCCACTCAACTAATGTGTCTCTGTTGATACACTTTTAAAACATCGCTCCCCTCACTGTAGAGGATTATTTATGAGCATGGTGCTTTCTTACGAGCATTCGAGTTCTCTCCCTTTCTGAGGAGTTGAATTCCCTGCTCCGTGGGCTGTTCTCGTGGTGGTGTTTAGCAGTGTTCCCCTCTATCAGAGGGTTGCCTATGAGCACGTTACTCCTTTTCTGAATTCGGAGTTCTCCACCATTTACCCGAGTTTGTAGATAGCGTTTGCATGAGTGCGTTTTCCTCTCGCGGGAATAGCGATGCATTCACGGCAGCAGGTTTCGTTCGCGCTTGATTTCCGAGGTAATCTAGCGGTTGGGCAGAGCGTGTTTAGCTCCCGCGGTTTCTGAAATTCGGAGTTCAGAGCACCTGGACCGGCAACATCAGGCGAACTAGGCCCTTCCTCTGCCTCCCTGATGTGCTGAGTTTTTGGCTAAGCTTGCAGTACAAGTTGCGTCGCACCACAGATCTTACTCTCCGTGCCACTGAGCAGGCTGCCACTGCCATTGGCAGATCCAAAAAATGGCAGCCATGGTGGTTATGGAGAGACGTCTGTGGGTGAGTCTGGTGGTTATCGGGTCGAAAGAGAAGGGCTTTCTTCTTGATGTGCCCGTTTCCCCTTCTGAGCTTTTCGGCACTTCCGTTGAGATGGTGGTCGTGAGGTTTTAGGAGGCCAAGACGTGCTCGGCTGCCTTTGAGGGCCCCTTAGAACGGTATCTTTAAATCCATGTTATGGTAAGTGTGCACACGAAATCCCTGTGCACTTTCTAAAATCCACACTGTGGTAAGTTTGTACATTAAGCTTTTTGCGTTCTTTCTAAAATCCTGTATGGTAGGGGCTACGTGCGGCGGCTTCGTGCCCTTTCTTGAGTTGGTTAGGCCCCGGTTCCACCTTGGGCACCATTCCGCCTATGTATCCTCAGGATACCTACTTTAACAGGGTGTTGCTACTAG